TGAGAGAGAGACAGAGAGAGTGGGAGTGGGAAAGGACAGAGAGAGAAGGAGACACAGAATCCGAAGCAGGCCCCAGGCTCTGAGCTGTCAGCACCGAGCCCGATGAGGGGCTAGAACCCACAAACCGTGTGATTATGAGCTGAGCCGAAGTTGGACACTTAACCGACTGAGCCAGCCAGGCGCTTCCCCGCCAAAAATTTTTAAAAATGTTTATGTAGTTTTGAGAGAGAAAGAGAGCATGAGTGAGGGAGGGACAGAGAGGGAGACACAGAATTTGAAGCAGGCTCCAGGCTCTGAGCTGTCAGCATCAGAGCCTGACCGGGCCTCAAACCCACCACTCATAAGATCATGACCGGAGCCAAAGTCAGATGCTTAACCGAGGCTGAGCCACCCAGGCGCCCCTCTGGTATATATTATTAGCTAGAAAAATAGAGTACTACCATTCTGAAACTGAGCCATCTCTTCCTAGAACTTTGGTGGTTGTACCAATGCCCATTCATTCAGATTTCTAAAGAGTCCTATATAAGCTGATGTATGTCATTTTGGAGATAATTTTTCAATGAAAAAAATCTAGGAACTAAATCATATTTTCTCCTTTTTCTTCTGTACGTGTGTGTGTGTCTGTGTGTTTCTGTGTGTGTCCTGGGCTCTGGGTCATTGTTACTCTAATAACCTTTTAATTAAATACAGTAATTGGCACATGCAGAGAATTGAGAGATATGTCACATCTGTCAGGGTAAAAAGGTTCAGTCTGAGATAATTCCTAGATTAGTGTTCCATTCAAAAGTGATAACTGTTCTTTCAAAAATGAAAGATAATGACTTCCTACATCAAACAAGACAGAGAACTCAAGCTGAAGTTTGTTTTATAATCATTGCTTTATTAAAAGCATTAGGTATTCTGTAGAGGATAATTACCTGAATGAATCTACAGCAGTCTTTGTAGGTTAAAACACATATCCTTGTCCCTTGAGACCTACAAATTCTTTTTGCTGGAATAAGTGGGATTCCAACTGCTAACACTAGATAGAAGCTCATTTTTTTTCATGATTACTCAAAGCATTTTTCCTACTTTTTTATTTAAAAGTACTATTCCTTCCTTTTTACCTGCCTTGTTTTGAAAAGACTTTAAGGGTGATTAAAAACAATATTACTAACACTCACAAAAAAAGGCAGATGAGGAAATGAGGATTCTCCATTATAGAATAAAATATATAATCTGTATGTTATATATATTATGTTTATATGCATGAATTTGAAATATTTATCTGATTCATTCATCCTGTCCCTCCTCTTTCTGTCTTGTAAGTTCACTTGTTTCTGCCATCTTCCCCTAAAATGCTTTTTGTTTTAGTTTATTTTCTCCTACTCTTTTTATTTTGAAAAATTTCAAACCTTGACAAATTTATTAGTATCATTAATACTTGTATGTCAGCACCTGAAACAAGTGTAACATTATGTGTCAACTATACTTCAATAAGAAATAAATTAAAAATATAAAAATAAAAAATAAAAAATCATATTCATTCTGGAAAAATATACTTGTATACTATTCACCTAAATTTGCCAATTTCTTATCTTTTAAAAAAATTTTTTAAACATTTTTGTTTATTTATTTTTGAGAGAGAGACAGAGTGTGAGCGGAGGAGGGGCAGATTCCACAGAATCAGAAGCAGGCTCCAGGCTCTGAGCTGTGAACACAGAGCCTGAAGAGGGGCTGGAACCTACCAACTGTGAGAGCATGACCTGAGCTGAAATCAGACGCTTAACTGACTGAGCCACTCAGGTGTACCCCCCCTTTTTTTCTAAGTAGGCTTCTTGCCCAGTGTAGAGCCCAAAGTGGTGCTGAATTCAGGACCCCAAGATCAAGACCTGAGCTGAGGGACTCTAGGTGGCTCAGTTGATTAAAGGACAGACTTTTGATTTTTCTCGCCATTCTTGAGTTCAAGCCCTGTGTTGGGCTCTGTGCTGACAGTATGGAGGCTGCTTGGATTCTCTCTCTCTGTGCTCTTCATGTGCACACTCTCTCTCTCTCCAAATAAGTAAACTAAAAAAAAAAAAAAAAAAAAAGACCTGAGCTGAGATCAAGAGTTGGTCGCTTAACCAACTGAGCCACTCAAGCGCTCCTCCATTATCTTTCTTTCTGTATAGGTGTGTGTATAGTGTATATTATAAATAACACATGTAATAAGAATCTGTAAAATATAAATTTATATTTTATATATTATACATATATTATATATTACATACACACCCACCCCTAAACCAAAAGACAACAATTGATGAATCTAGGTAAATAATATGAGCATCAATTATACTCTTCTTGTAAATTTTCACAAAATCTGAAATGTTTCCAAAAAATATATAATATATATACATATATGTAACTATACAGCACATACATATACACAAATAATAGTTTTTGGTTTTTGGCTGAGTGGAGTTAGTTGCAGACATTATGATACTTCACACCTAGGTACTTGAACTTGAGTTTCCTAACATGGACATGGACATTCTCCTACAAAACCATAATCACAGTCAGGAAGTTTAATCTTGATGTTATCTAATAAGCAGTCCATAATTATCTCAGATCATGGCCTGAACTGAGATTAAGAGTCAGACACTTAACACTTAACAGACTGAGCCACCCAGGTGCCTTGTTGTTGTTGTTGTTGTTGTTGTTTTGCATAAAACTATTTGAAGGTTCCTTATCATCCCCTGGATAAATTAAATTCCTCACCATACTTTTAAGAAGGTCACTTTTAGGGGCATCGGGGTGGCTCAGTCATGTAAGCGGCAGACTTTGGCTAAGGTCATGATCTTGTGGTTTGTGGGTTAGAGCTGTCAGCACAGAGCCTGGAGCCTGCTTTGGATTCTGTGTCTCCCTCTCCCTGCTCCTCCTCCATGCATGCTTTGTCTCTCTCTCTCTCTCAAAATAAACATTAAAAAAAAAGATTGTCACAATTTACTCTGATGGTCCTTTGCAGCCTCATCTTTTCTAGTCATTAGCAGTTTGTACTTCAGGTATAGCAAACACCAAATAGTATACTTTCTATAGTCTTTCCCCATGCTTGGAGTATCCTTCTCCTCCTCCTTTTTTTTTAATATTTATTCATTTTTGAGAGAGAGTGTGTGAGTGGAGGAGGGGCAGAGAGAGAGGGAGACACAGAATCTGAAGTAGGCTGTATACTCTGAGCTGTCAGCACAGAGCCTGACGTGGGTCTTGAACCCAAGAGCAGTGAGATCATGATCTGAGCTGAAGTCAAGACACTTTACCAACTGAGCCACTGAGCCACCCAGTCGCCCCATGGGGTATCCTCTTTCAAGTCAATTTACATCGCCTTCAAGATACTGTTACTTTTTCTCACAGATATTTGTTGAGTGCTGCTAATCCACCATGGTAGGTAGGCGTGGTAGGTATTGGGACACAATTCCAAACAAGGCCAACATAGTCTCTGTCCTTATGGAATTTATACTGGCTGAAAACGTCATCTCTTTTGTGCTTCTATAAATTGTATACATGTTCTTATTATAGCATTTATTATATTGCATTGTAATTTGTGTTTGCATGTTTGCCACCCAGCTGGACTGTGAGATTTTCAAGGTTAGAATAAATTTTACTCATCTTTGTTTCCCCAGGACCAAGACGGTAGCAAGCACTAAATAATTCTCATTCAACAAATGAATGAAATAAATCATTCCTGCTAAGGGTTAACTAACAAGAGGTCTCCTTTTTAGTTAACGAATATGCTTTAATACAATTAAATTTTGGAAAATCTCTTAGTGAGGGAGGTTTTTAAGTTCTTTAAATCATACCATCCCTACATATGCTTAAGGATGGCTCCAAAACTATTCCCAGTATGAAGGTTAAATAAATAATAGAGTAAGAATTACAGTATTCTGCAGTAGTTGGCACTGTTCCTTCTATTAAAACCCTACCCTAGGGGTGCCTGTGTGGGTCAGTCTGTTAAGTGTCCAACTTTAGCTCAGGTCATGATCTCGGTTCCCGAGTTCAAGCCCTGCTTAGGGCTCTGTGCTAACAGCTTAGAGCCTGGAGCCTGCTTCAGGCTCCGTGTCTCCCTCTCTCTCTGACTCTCCCCTGCTCACAATCTGTCTGTCTCTCTCAGAAATGAATAAACAAAAAAATAAATTAAAAACAACAACTCCACCCTATAATATGAAAACTGCTGTTGGTCAGGAGGTACTTCCAAAACTGACAGCAATGAAAATGAAAATTGCATTTCATTACGCTCTTTGTAAAAACACATTTTTATGGAGGTTTCTTACACTTTTCCATAAGCAGCTTTCAGTCAATTTATCAGTTTCCTCGACCAGTTTATTACGCTTGAACATGCATAAGGCTACTTCTGGTACTTGGTTGTATTTAATTTTGTTTTACACTGTGCAACATTGCCTTTTTAGTTTCTGTCTTGTTTCTCTACCGAGATTGCAGCTCCCTAAAATGTAGTTCAGCACCGTATTAGGCACGAGTAAACAGGGCACACTTTACAAATTGACACTCTCATAAAACGATAGACGATATTAAGAGTTTATCAAGCAACATAGTAATACTCGCTATCAAGTAATGTACACTCTCAAATTTTAACGTGCATAAAAACCACTAAGGCTGAGGATCTTGTTAAAATTCATATTCTGATCAGCGGGTCTGGGTGGAGCTCGATAATTTGCATTGTTAACAAGCGCCCCAGTTATGAAGATGCTGTTGGTCTCCGGACAAAAGTGAATCTAAAGGAACGTGCAAAAGGAAGGTAGACGCTTTGCTCCAAAACATTTTGCAGAGCGTTAATTAAATGCAAGCATGGTTAGGATGGAGCCAGGCCGAGCATTTCTTACCCACCCTCAAACTTCCTCTTCCCAGCTGCATCTCCCCGAATACAGCCAAAATCCCCACCTCCGTAAATCATAAGAACACAAGCAGCAACAGGCCCAGCTACGAAAGATGCGAGCCCAGCTAACAAACGGAGATCTCCCTGCACTTACTAGTCTAAGAGCTCGGGATTAGATGCAGTCCGGGTAGTGGCCGCTCCCTCGCCAAGTAGAACAATTCAAAATTAAAACCTTATCACGGAGGGGCCAATCGTTGCCAAGGTCTCTTCACGATTCGCGCTCTCGGTACTGTAGGAGCACAGACTGGTTTGTGATTGGTTAAGATGTCACCAAGCACTGGCCAATGAAAGCTGAGGCGCTTCTTGTATGAATAAGTGGAAGGCGGGAGCGAAGGGGAGGGGAAGCAGGAGACCTCAGAAGGTGTGTCGTGTACCCTATGCTATTTGTGGTAGCTTTTGTGTAATTGGTTGGCTCTCTTCCGATTATACCAATCGCAATCTCTTCTCTGCGGAGCCCTAGCTATGAAATTGAAAGTAGAGATGAGGGTGCAGCCAATGGAAAAAAAAAGGTGTACAGCAGCCAATCCTCCTGCGGCGTTTTGTGTCTTTGCCCAACTGGAGAAGGTGTTTCATGTGGGGGGCGTTACCCAATCGCCAATGGGCGGGCACCAGTAAAGTAGAGGAACCAATGAGTGCGAGACGTTGAGTGACAGCTGTCCAATAGGCACCCTCAGTGCTAGTACGGCTTGCGGCTTAAGCACCGCCGCGGTCTGAGGAATGTCAACTATTCAACATGGAGGCGGAGGTCGATAAGCTGGAACTGATGGTGAGTGTAAAGTAAAGGAGATCTACTGGGTAGTTTATTTCTCCCGGATGGCCTTCAAGGTGGAATGCAATTTCGAGTCGCCGGAAACCCTGAGCGGCAGAAGCTGGACCAGATTCGAGTTCCCTCCTCTTGTATCAAAGGGAGTCTCAGCCGCCTGGTCTCTTAACCGCCGCGGGGGAAGGGGTTACATCCGGGAAACTCGTGAGGGAAATGGCGGGAGATGCTGAGGTAGCCTGGCCTTTGGAATTCCTTGTTCCGTGCCTTTACCTTTTCCTTCCCTCAAGGAGCTGTGGCTCGTGCAGGTAGTGTTTTGTGTATTTCCCCCCCAAAAGACGTGAGTGGAATGATCCCTAACCGTCCCAAGAAGGGGAGAGGTCGTTCACACTAAAAGAAAGGGAGATGGAAGATGAGGTGGGGAGCAAACCGAGGGGGGCGGAGAGAAATCCCATTAGGGCAGAGCCATTCGCGTTCTCCAAGGCGGGCTGAGAAAGTCTGAGAAAGGTTCTAGACTCGAGTGCACAACTTCTTAGCGGCCGAGGAAGCCCCAAGACCAATTTATGTTTGGATCGAAGGGGCCACCTTTGGGTGGGGGAAAGGTGTGAGCGATGGGGACCTCAACCTCCAGCTCCTTTCTTGGAGCGCGGGAGGAATTGGGACAAGGAAGGCACCCTGCTTTCGAGTTGCCTAGTTTCATTCATTTATGAAAGTAGTGGGCGCGGGTGAATAATTGGAGAGGATTCCGGCTGCCGCTTGGCCTGCTCCAGGGCGCCAAGCTGAAGGGCTGTCCTAGTTTTCTTCTGTGGATCGTTTCCTCATTTGTTCTCTATTCCCTCTCTCCCATTCTTAGACTACCAGCTTGATCGCCCGCGCTTTTTTTCTTCTTGGTTCCCCTTGTTCTATCTTCAGCCCTCCCCCCGCCCTCCCACGTTACTATGTTTGAATTAGGCTGGCTTTCTTTAATATGTGGGATTTGGAGGACGCGCCCATCACTGAGCTCCTTTCGTTTTTTGTTTTGTTTTGTTTTTTTGTTAAAGAATATAACAAAATTAATTCAAAAAGCCCGAATCTTTCTTCTCCATCTCAAACCGCCCGTCCTCTCCCTACCATACCCTGCATTACAACTTAGACACCATTTGTGTCAGGGCTGCTCTCTCCAAGTTGAACCTTCGGTCACTTAGCCATCTGCACTTGTACTGATCCTGGAAGAAACTGAGTACCATACCCTGATTCCCACGGCCAGAAAATAGGAGAGCTTGATATATCTTATTATTTTCTCCTGATGTATTAATGAATTGTAGTGCCTCTCCTATACAAATTCGACTTGAAGCTTTCCAGTTGATTCTAACAATTTTTTGAGTTTTAATTTTCTTTGTGGGAGTTGGGGGGGAAGTGGGATGAGGAGGGAATGGCAGTGAAGAAGGGAGAATTTTTGCCACTTTCCAAACCTGTAATAATGAACTTTTAGTTCAAAGTTTTATTATTTTTATAATTAACTGTCTTTAAACAAACAAAAGAACCAGAACATGTCAAGTATCCTAGTTTGATTCTGTCAACAGGCATAAATGTTTAACACCATCTTGTCCTTTTACCCATTCTGGATTTCTCCCTCCAGATGGAGATTTCTGCCTAATTGTAAGATGCTAAATGATACTAATTCTGCTTTTAACAGTTTTCCTCCCCCCCTCAAGTTGGCTGTTTATTTTTGAGGTACCAATTAAGGGTTTTTTTTTTTTTTTGACTGCACAAAGAGTCAATATTCTCACAGACCTTATTTTTTTTTTAGATTGAACACAATTAAAATTTTTTTTTAATGTTTATTTAATTTTGATAGAGGGAGAGACTGTGAGCGAAAGCAGGGGAGGGACAGAGAGGGAGACACAGAATCCAAGCAGGCTCCAGGCACTGAGCTGTCAGCACAGAGCCTGTCGCAGGGCTGGAACTCAAGAGCTGTGGAATTGTGACCTGACCCAAAGTCAGACACAATTTTTAAAAATGTTTAGTCATTTTTTGAGAGAGAAAGACAGAGAGAAAATGAATGAGTGGGGGAGGGGCAGAGAGAGAGGGAGACAGAATCTGAAGCAGGCTCCAGGCTCTGAGCTGTTCGACATGGGGCTCAAACTAAGGAACTAGGAGGTCATGACTGGAGTTCGAAGTCGGACGCTTAACTGATTCAGCCACCGAGGCGCCTTTTTTTTTCCCTCTAAATGTTTAGATGTTTGAATGTTTAGATTGAACACAATTTAAAGGGAAAATGATTAAGTGTACATCTTGATAAAAGTAAGTTTTATAAAATTATGAGGTAGCCAGGCTCTTAAACTTGTAGGTATTTGAATGATTGGGGTAGTTTTTAAAAATTCTTTTTAAGAGATGAAGAGAAGAAAGCAGGTCTTCTTAAATTACTTGCAGGTAACCTAGTGGTAGCATTCCCCGCCTCCCTTCCAGTTATTAGTTTGTTTCCATAATCATTAGAGTTTAAAAATGTATTTGAACTATTACAGTTTTCTTATTACTGCTTTTTATTGATCGAATAGTAAAAGAGGGTGCGTCTTATCTTCAGATTTGCCATGTGCTGTATGTATGATCTAGTTTAGTTTCTATGATTGGGAAGAAATTATTTCCTGTACAATTCTCTGAGTTTTGGTTCTACATTACTTGAATAAAGTATTTGTTGAGGAACTAATGTTGAAAATTAAATAAGTGAGGGGCACCTGGGTGGCTCAGTGAGTTAAGTGTTGGGGGTTGACTCAGGTCATGATCTCATGGTTCTAGGTTGGAGCTCCACCTCAGGCTCTGTGCTGACAGCTGGGAGCCTGGAGCCTGCTTGAGATTCTGTGTCTCCCTCTTTCTCTGCCCTCCCCACTCACATTCTGTCTCTCTTTCAAATAAAAAAAGAAAATTTAGTAAGTGAAAGAGAACGCATAGTATTGAACTTGGAAAAGAAAGTGTTTATTCTCATTTTGTAGACAGCCTGATCCTCTTATTTTAAAAATATTTCACGGGTGCCTGAGTGGCTCAGTCAGTTGAGCGTCCGGCTTCGGTTCAGGTCATGATCTCATGGTTTGTGGATTCAAGCCCTGCGTCGTGCTCTGTGCTGACAGCTCAGAACCTGGAGCCTGTCTTCGGATTCTGTGTCTCCCTCTCTCTCTGACCCTCCCCTGTTCACGCTGTCTCTCTCTTTCTCTCAAAAATAAATTAAAAAAAAATTAAAAAATATTTCATATTTTTCTCAGTTGGATTAATTTCTAATTCAGAAAATTATTTGACTCTTAAATACTTTATTTATTTATTATAAGTACTTGGCTTATACTAAATCCTCGGCTAGCAGAGTTGAACTATTCTAATACCTGAGTTACATGGCCTAGGATTTGAGGCCAAGTCATTCCTGTTCCAGTTGTCCTGAATTTGAGTTCATTTTTTAGAAGGTTCAATATAACCAAGTAGCTGATTTAAAGAAAGGTTAGTGAAAATAATGGAAAGTATTTTGCATCAATCAACATTATTAATGGGGGAATAAGCTCATTGTATGGTTATTTTTGTTCTCTAACTTTTTCCCTTTCACTTACTGATTGAGTGGTATTTGTCCAGTGTTCTTTTGTGGTACCACTAGTGATTATGCACAAAAGTACAATGTTATACTATCGTACTTTTTCTATTTCTGGGCTTACATCTGACTTTTGATTGGTTTCTTACCAGTTAAAAGGTTAGGATGGTGATAATTGGCTTGAATCCAAGAAAACCGGATTCTTAAAATCTCAGAACCTCCTCCTGTACCATGTATTATTTTCTCCCTGATTTTTCTATGTTTGAAGGAAATGGGAGATGATTTCCTCCTATATCTAAGCTCTTTAGGGCTTAACTGAAATTGTATTTGTTTATTTATAAAAATGTGTTATTTTTAATTTTACAGAGAGAGAGAGAGAGAGAGTGCAGGGGAGAGGGGCAAAGGGGATGGGGAAAGAGAGAGAGAGTGAGGAAATCTTAAGCATACTCCATGGTCAGCATAGAACCTGACATCATGGGGCTTGAGCCCATGACACCGGCATCATGACCTGAGCTGAAATCAAGAGTTGGACATTCAACCAACTGAGCCAACCAGGCGCCCCTATATATTTATTTTTTAAAGTTTATTTATTGCTTTAGAGAGAGAGACAGAGAGCATGTGTGTACACATGCACATGTGCACAAGTAGGGAAAGGACAGAGAGAGAGAGAGTGAAAGAGAATCACAAGCAGGCTCTGTGCTTTCAGGGTGCAGCCTGATTCCAGGTTTGATTCCATGAACTGTGAGATCATGACTTAAGCTGAAATTAAGATTTGAACACTTAAGTGACTGAGCCACCCAGGCACCCCAGGGGTTCACTGAAATTTTAAAATCCCTTTCCATAGTATTCCATTAGGTAGGGGCTTGTTTAGGAGACATTAATTCCTAGAAGTCTGTAAACTTTTGAGATAAGAAGCTATACGATGGTTACAGCTTTTTAGTATTTAATGCAGTTTAGATTCCAGAAACATAGATTGGGTATTTAGAGATCGGGAAACTTATTTTACTTTTCATTTGTTTTCTCTGATATTCTTTTTTTTTTTAAATTATTTATTTTGAGAGGGAGAGAGAGACAGAGCACATGAGCGAGACTGGGGCAGAGAGAGGGAGAAAGAGAATATACCAAGCAGGCTCCACACTGCCAGTACAAAGTCTGATGTGTGGCTCGAACCCATGAACAGTGAGATCTTGACCCAAGCCGAAGTCAAGAGCTGGATGCTCAACTGACTGAGCCACCCAGGTGCCCCTGTTTTCCCTGATATTTTTTTTTTTTAATATTTTTATTTATTTCTAGGAGAGAGAGAGAGAGACAGCGTGAGCAGGGGAGGGTCAGAGAGAGAGGGAGACACAGACTGAAGCAGGCTCCAGGCTCTGAGCTGGCAGTCAGCACAGAGCCCGACGCGGGGCTCGAACCCACGAACCACGAGATCACGACCTAAGCGAAAGTCGGATGCTTAACCGACTAAGCCACCCAGGCACCCCTGTTTTCTCTGATATTCTTAAACAATCAGTTGCTATGGGGGAGCTAACCAACATGTCTCAAGAACAGAAATCTTTTTCACAACTTTGCTTTAGTAGTAATTATAACTGGTTTGTTAATACCAGTCCTAACATTTTAACAATACCCATGTTAATAACTTCTAAAGCTTAGGATGTATTTACATAATTCCTTTCTACAGATTTCTGTTGAATATTAATCAGAGATTAGTCATCAGAAAACTATTTTGATATTTAAGTTCAGTTGTTTCTTTTTAACATTGATATACATGTTCTTAGGTTTGGGGTGTCTTCTGTCCAAAATGGCAGCCCTTCTTTAAATTCTTTTCACACTGAAGCTTCAACTGATGCAAGATGCTTTTGTGTTCCTTTCCTACCAATTTCTGCTAACGAATGCTCTGACTTTATTGCACTACTGTACTTTACAGCTAGCAGTGCAATAGTATTGTCAAAGCATCTGAAAGCAGAATGCACACCAGAATTTTGATTCTTGCTTTACATCTTTCTTCATTATCTGTGAGTAATTTGTCACAAACTTTGTTGCTAAGAAGTGTGTAATTTTATTACCCAAAGTGTATGTATTAAAAAGTCATAACTTGAAAAAACTTTTTTTTAACTAATTAAAAGCTCACTATCATAATTAATGCATTATGAAACACACTGAGATCATACTTTTTATAGCTAGAGTTGTTATGGCTTGTTTAAGTGCTTTGTCTTTTGCTTCTTTCTATAACAGATTTGGAAAGGTTCTGGCAAATCTTGTTGTTTTTTTTTTAATTAAGTTTTAAGGTGAATTAGTAAGTGATGAAAACAATCTCTGCTACATGTTTCATATGATAACTTGTCCCAAATCTTAATTGTTGTTAATTTTGTATACTGTGTAGTTTATACTTGAATTTAAAACTCAAGAATGCTTGTTTTAAAGTTTCTTTTTGTAATAAAGAAATATAATAAAGTGTATATCCATTACCTTTTTGTAATCAATTTTGAGATATAACTTACATACATAAAATGTACCGATTTTAGTTGTATAGTTTGATGAGTTTTGACAAACGTGAACAGTCATGCAACCACCACCACAGACATGGTATATAAAGAATATTTCTGTCACCTAACATTTCCTGCCTTTTGTAGTCAACCTCCTCCCCTCCAACTTTCTGACAATCATTAATCTCTAGTTTTGCCTTTTCTAGAAGTTCACATAAATGGAATAATTTATAGCTTGCATTTTTTTTTGTGCCTGGCTTCTTGCACTTAACACAATAAGATTCATCCATGTTGTTGTACATATTAGTAGTTGGACCATTTTCATTGTAGTAGTATTCCATTGCTATAGCCTTACAAAGCCTTTATCCATTTACCAGATTATGGGCTTTGGGTTGTTTATAGGTTTTGCCTATTATGAATAAAGTAGTTGTGGTACTTATACATTATGGTATAAGTCTTTGGACATAATGTAGTGTTTTTGTTTCTCTTGGGTAGTGTGATAAAATATATGCTTCATCTCATAAGAAATTGCTGAAATTTTTACCAAAGCTGTGGTTTCTCCACATCTTTACCAACATTTCGTATCTTGGTATTGTCAGTCTTCTTCATTTTAGCTATTCTAATAGTTGTGTGGTGGTATCTTGTTATAGTTTAAATTTGCTGGGGCGCCTAGGTGGCTCGGGCGGTTAAGCATCCAACTTCAGCTCAGGTCATGATCTCATAGTTTGTGGGTTCGAGCCCGGCGTGGAGCTCTGTGCTGATAGCTAAGAGCCTGGAGCCTGTTTCGGATTCTGTATCTCCCTCTCTCTCTGACCCTCCCCTGCTCACACTGTCTCTCTCTCTCTCAGAAATAAATAAAACATTAAAAAAATTTGCATTTCCAGGATGGCTAATGATATTGAACATTTTTTCATGTGCTTATTTGCAGTTAATATATTTTCTCTACTGAAATATCTGTTGAAATTTTTGAATCAGTTTTCAAATTGAGATGTTTGTCTTTTTAATTATTATGAGAGTCCTTTAATTTTCTCTTATTTCCCCTCTCAAATAAATGTGAGATAAAGTTGGACTTTATCAAGTCCAACTTATACATTTATTTTTCTATGGATTATGGTTTCTTTTTTTTTTAAATTTTTTTTTTAATGTTTTATTTATTTCTAGGAGAGAGAGAGAGAGAGAGAGAGAGACAGCGTGAGCAGGAGAGGGTCAGAGAGAGAGGGAGATACAGACTCTTAAACAGGCTCCGAAACAGGCTCCAGGCTCTGAGCTGGCAGTCAGCACAGAGCCCGACGCAGGGCTCGAACCCACGAACCGCGAGATCATGACCTGAGCCC